AAATGATGATCCACCCCTTGTATCAAAGCAGATTGGCCCCCTGCCACTACCTTAACTCCAGTCCTCAAGCGTGGAGTCTTTTCTCTGTTCCTTCCTTCCTTCTTTTAAACATTCCCTGAGAAACAGCTCTGTGCTGAGTGATGCTGGCAACCCATCTGTGGGTGATGCAGCCCAGACTCCGCCCTCCTGGGGTTCAGAGTCAATAGATAGGCAGATAGATAGGTCTGTCTCTGTTGGGGTGAGGTCAAAGATAGCACTTCACCCACCTTGGAGATCAAAGAGGGCTTCCTGGAGGAGGAGACATATCTGGATGAGATGTAAGGGAGCTAAACATGGGGGCTTGAAGACAAAAGAAATGTGGCTAGTAGAAAGTAGAAGATACAAATTAATGGGCACAATCCTCCAACACACACACACACACACACACACACATCCTGAAGTTTTTGGGGTTTTGGGGGGGTAAGTCATGGGGCTTGAACTCTGGGCCTGGGCACCATCCTTCAGCTCTTCAGCTCAAGGCAAGCACTATACTGCTTGAGCCACAGCACCACTTGCAGCTTTTTCTGTTCATGTGGTGCTGAGGAATGGAACCCAGGGCCTCACGCATGCGAGGCAAGCGCTCTACCACTGCGCCACCTTCCCAGCCCCTGAAGTTTGTTTTGTCAGTTGTGGGGCTTGAACTCAAGGCCTGAGTGCTGTCCTTGAGCTCTTTTTTGCTCAAGGCTAGCACTCTACCACTTCAAGCCATGGTGCCACTTCTGGTTTTCTGGTGGTTCATTGAAGAGTCTCATAGACATTCCTGCCCGGGCTGGCTTTGAACTGTGATCCTCAGATCTCAGCCTCCTGAGTAGCTAGGATTAAAGATGGGTACATAAGTCAAGTTTGCTCAAAAAACAATCTATATTGCCAGGTTCCCTGGAGTTCTAAGGTGTGTTGACCCTTGAGAGAGGCCCTGACTCTTCAGCTGGACAAAGTCTCCACTCTACCCCCAGCATCTCCTGGTGAAGGGAGCTGAATTGCTGTTTACCATGGAGGGTGGGCTGGGGGTGGGGTTGCTGCATATAGGTAAGATGAGATGTTTCCTGTTGCCATCAAAACTGGGGGAAGCTCGGTGCTGGTGGCTCATACCTGTAAGGAAAGTCCGTGAGACTCTTATCTCCAATAAACCACTAGGAAACCGGATGTGGCGCTGTGGCTCAAAAGGTAGAGCGCTCGCCTTGAGCTGAATTGCTAAGGGACAGCGCCCAGGCCCAGAGTTCAAGCCCCACGACCGACCAAAAAAAAAAAAAAATGACTGAAAGTAGGGTTCAAGTGATATAGAGCTTGCCTAGCAAGTGCAAAGCCCTGAGTTCAAATCCCAGAGCCACCAGAGAGAGAGAGAGAGAGAGAGAAAGAGAGAGAGAGAGAGACTGGGATCCACACATACACATTCAGGGTATCTGTGGGTTTGACTTGGTTGACCGGGCTAGCCTGGGGGTGAGGAGACACTGAATTTGCAAGCCTTTCTGACTCTTGGGGACCCCCCCCAGCTCATGCAATGAGGACCACCATGGGTCTGGTTGGTTCCGGCTGCCTTGGGCTCTCTTCCAGGGCCGGGGGCAGGAGGGGGAGCTTGCGTGAGTGTAGCAAAGGCTCCATATTCACATAAAATTAGGGTCCCCTGGGCCCCCACTCTGAGCTTCCTGTAGGATGGAGGCAGAAGCGGCTGTAATTACATCTCCCTCCTGCCCCCCACCTCTCAGCCGGCTCCGGCCTGGTTGCGTCATGTCTGTGGGAGCCCCGAGGGAGAAGGGGGACAGGGGAGAGAGAGCCAAGGATGAGCTGAGGCTGGAAGGAGGCAAGGAGAAAAGATGCCAGGGTGGATGGAGCCAGATCATTCTAGAATGTCAGACTCAGCACCTTGCACCCACTAAGAACCTCAAAGCCAAGGCATCTAGGATCAGCCCCAGAACATCTAGCTCTTGAATTCTGGAATATTCGGACCCCATGGGGCTGGCCACAGGGAGGATCAGGAGAAGATGTCTGTGGGAAGAGGCTGGAGAAGAGAGGGACGGGTCGTGGGTGACCAGCCGCCAGGAGCACAGATCCCGTTAATCTCATTATCCTCGCTAACGCAGCCCGACCAGCTCTGGTCCCTGCTGCCCAGCTCTTTCCTGCCCCGCCCAGCTGTGAGGTCAACTCTGGGGCCAGACCCAGCCTGGGGTCACAGCCTGACCAGGAGGTGGCAAGGCCTTGGGAAGTGCCCCCCCCCCACTGCCTGGCCCCCAAGTATCCCATTCACCCCACCCCGGAGCAGTACAAGCCTGGCTGAGGGGGTTGGGTGAGGAGAAGCCTAATTTAGGAGGGTGGAAAGCAGGGTGTATGGGGGAGGGGGGGAGGACTGGGCTGCAGTTTGTCCTGATGTAGCCCAGACTCAGGGCTGAAGAGGCAGCAGCTGATGGGTACCAGAAAGGCCCCAACCAGTTCCTTTCCTGGCCAGCTTGGCTTTGCTGCCCTGCTGACACACACCCAGATGGGAGCCCCAGTTGGATATAGGGTGACTCAGCTCTACTCCACACACATGCCATGTGGACATACACCCCCCCCTCGGATGACGCCCTCTGGACTCCAGTGTGTCCCCAACTTGTCCTGGCACACAGTAAAACCGTGAGGCTGCTGAATGAATGATAGCACCATGGGGAGAGGTAAGGATGAGGTTTAAAAGCAAATAAACACACAAACACCTTCACAGCTAGGTGTGGTGATGCATACCTGTCATCCCAGCTCTTCAGCAAGATGGTGGCAGGATGATTAGAAGTTCGAGGCCAGCCTGGGCCAACTTTGGGAGACTTCAGTGTCAAGAACAAAATACACACAAAAGGGCTTGAGGGTGTGGCTGGCGTGGCAGAGTGCTCGCCTAGCCAGGAAGCCACCATCAGGATTGCAAAACCCAAGCCAAATTGAACAAAACATTTTCTCTCTTTCCACTGCCCCCCCCACACACACCCATCCAAACACACACCCTGGTAGAAAGAGCCACAAAGAAGAGAGCCAGCTAAACAGATGCCCCAATAAGCCCACTACGCCTTCTAGAAAAAGCTTATCCCCAAGTCTGCACAACACAGCAACATAGCCATGAGCTGTAGTTATGATCTCTCTCTCTCTCTCTCTCTCTCTCTCTGTCTCTCTCTCTCTCTCACACACACACACACACACACTCACCATGCTTGGGACTTGGGATTTCCCCCCCCCTCCGGCCCCCATCAGCCCACACACACTCACATGCCAAGTTCAAGTTCACTCCCGCTTCTCCTGGGCCTCCATTTCCCCGCACCCCCCCTCCATATCCCTGAGTCAGTCTTCCCTGTGTCTGGCTGTCCTTCCTCTTCTAGCCTGGGGTCCCCTGGGGAAGCTGAGTCCTGTCCCTAGCAGTGTGTGAAGAGCTCACTCCTGACTCACCTCCCCATAGCTCCTTCCCTAGCTCCAGAAGCGCCTCTCACCCAGGGGCCTGGGCTGGGCTTGGCTGGCAGAGGTCTCAGCCTCTCTGGGAGTTGGAGGGTCCTGCACATGCTCACCTAGGCCCCTAGCACAAGGCCCTTCTTGCTAGCAAGAAGTTATGGTTGCTTCCACCCAGCAGCCTCTATTACCAAAGCCCAGAGCTTGGAGGCCCTCACAGTGCAGGAGGGAAACTGAGGCATAGACTGGTGCAGGAGTAGATGTCCAGAATCCCCTGCTGGGGGACAAGAAGCCAGCAGGAGAGAGCTCCAGGAATCCCAGCATCCGGCCTGGTCCCCAGCATGCTATTCCCCTGGTGCTGGGCGCTGACTGCTGTGGCACCGGAAGTCGGGGGTGCCAGCTGAGTGCCAGCTGATAGGGAGATGGGGGAGGGCCCGGAGCTTGCGGTTCATGGGGTGGGGACAGAAAGGGAAAGGCTGCAGATGGCGTACTGGGCTGGGTCAGGGGTGATCCTCTGGGGCAGGGGGCCTGTGGTCCCCCTTTGTGGGGACCATCACCTGACCAGACAGTCACAGGAACCCAGGTCACACAGAATGAGATTCTTAGTAGCCTCCGGCCTTTATGGGTCTCCCTGAAAAACGAGGGGTGTGGGCATGGGCCCCTCCAGGACTCAGGGCTGGGGGGGGCTGTCTGGGAACCACCCTGTTGACAGCGGGGACTCTAGGACTGGCCATGCCGGCCCCAGGGACCCAGTCTGGGTGTTGGGGGAGTGTGGGAACACCCCTGTGGGAACCCTGGATGGCCATCGGACAGGACTAAAATATGATTCCTGGAGGTCAAGGTCACCAGTGCTTGGCCTGGGGCCTGGAAGGGCCTCAAAAAGCCTGCAGGGCCCTGGTGAGTGAGTGGACCCGACTACAACTCCTGGACTACAAGCAGGCTTTACCTTCTCACCCCTATTCCGGGCTCAGGACACTCCAGGGAGGACCCCCAGGAACCAGGCCCGGCCAGGCGGGCTGTCTCCTTCCCCAGCCCAGGGGAAGATGGAACGGTATCAAGGGAGCAGAGCGCGCATAGTAGAGGTTGGAAATGGCTATGAGGACCAGAGGAATTTCCTGGTCATTTCTCAATCCCTGGGCCCTGCTCCTAACCCCGGGGCTTGGAGCCCAGAATAGATCTCTTACCACCCCCCCTCCATCTCCCCATCTCCTGGCCAACCTTGAGAACTGGGCTCAGGTCCTGAGCTTGGCGGATGGGGACTAGGACTCAAACCTCCACCCCACAAGACGGCCAAGACCTGAGTGTGGAGAGGGGTGGCAGGTGGCTAGAGGGGGTGCATGGGATGGGGAGGGGGAAACACAGGGGCAGGAAATGGATGCTCTGAGCAGAGAGAAAGACCGGGTGCAGGCTGGGAAGGGGGCAGGGAGCCCAAGGGGGCCTCTGGAGACAGGGGGGAGGGAGGGCGGGGCAGAGAGGAAATGAAAAAGCCAGGGCGCGAGTGAGCCGTGGGGAGGGAGGAGGGAGGGGAGGAGAAGGAGAAGCTGACACAGACCACAGACCGAGGACGCAGACGCACCGGCCGACCGGGAGTGAGGAGAGGAGGTACGGACAGACAGACAGAGGACAGACAGACAGACAGCTAGGCTGAGGAAGCAGAACTGCAGGGGAGGAGAGGAAAGAGGGGGGGGGGCTAGAGAAAGGCAGGTAGGGGTGGATAAGAGAGCAAGACAGACAGACGACAGACAGACAGACAGGCAGGCAGGCAGGCAGGCAGTAAGAGAAAGACAGACACCGGTCTCGGGGGTATTAGGAGGAAAAGACAGAGACAACTAAGGGAGGTAGATAGATACTGGGGAAGACAAAGGGGAGAAAGACAGACAGACAGATAGACAGACAGCAGGCAGGCAGCCAGCGGCCTCCCCCCCCCCCCCCCCCCCACAACACCCATGAAGGACTGGGAGTTGAGAGGCAGATGTGGGCCATCATAGAGACTGAGGCCAGCGTGGGTACCTGAGTGTGCCCTCTCCCCTTTGCACCCCTCCCACCAGGGTGGGGAGGCGGTGGGCAGCCATGGCTGATTCCTGCAAGAACCTCACCTACGTACGGGACTCGGTGGGCCCAGCCACCAGCACCCTGATGTTCGTGGCGGGCGTGGCGGGCAATGGGCTGGCCCTGGGCATCCTGGGCGGCCGGCGCCGTTCACACCCATCAGCCTTTGCCGTGCTGGTCACTGGGCTGGCCGTGACCGACCTGCTGGGCACCTGCTTCCTGAGCCCGGCCGTGTTCGTGGCCTATGCCCGCAACAGCTCGCTGCTGGGCCTGGCCCACGGGGGCCCTGAACTCTGCAACGCCTTCGCCTTTGCCATGACCTTCTTCGGCTTGGCCTCCACGCTCATCCTCTTCGCCATGGCGGTGGAGCGCTGCCTGGCGCTCAGCCACCCCTACCTGTACGCCCAGCTGGATGGGCCACGCTGCGCCCGCCTGGCGCTGCCCACCATCTATGCCTTCTGCCTGGTCTTCTGTACCCTGCCCCTCCTAGGCCTAGGTCAGCACCAACAGTACTGCCCGGGCAGCTGGTGCTTCATCCGCCTGCGGGCACCTGAGCCGGGTGGCTGTGCTTTCTCCCTGGCCTATGCCAGCCTGGTGGCCCTGTTGGTGAGCGCCATCTTCCTGTGCAACGGCTCTGTCACCATCAGCCTCTGCCGCATGTACCGCCAGCAGCGGCGGTGCCAGGGCTCGCTGGTGCCCAGCGCGGGGACCCGTGAGGACGAGGTGGATCATCTCATGCTGTTGGGCCTCATGACAGGCATCATGGCCGTGTGCTCTCTGCCTCTGACGGTGAGTACCCCATCCGCAGGGGAGGAGGGCAGCCGCTGGGCTCTGCCCGTGCTGGGTGGTACCCATTTCACAGATGGGGAAATGGAGTCTCAAAAGAGACTGCTTTTTTTTTAAAAAAAATTTTTGGTGCCAGTCCTGGGGCTTCTGCTTTTTGGGTGGTTCATTGGAGATAAGAGGCTCACAGACTTTCTTGCCCAGGCTGGCTTTGAACCATGATCCTCGGGTCTTAGCCTCCTGAGTAGCTAGGATGACAAGCTGGCTTCAAAAGAGATTGGTCCACTGCCAAAGCAGTCACAACTTTCTAGAGAAATCTCTTCTGCCCCCTTGGACTCCTCCAACCTCTTCTACACTCCCTGGACCTTGATCAGCCAATGTACCCCGACTCTCCATCTCCTCTATGAGCACAGGTCCCACGATCTATGAGCCCCCCATATTCAGATGTGAGCAACTTAAGACCTCCGCATGGGCCATACACAGCCTTTCCTCCAGCGTTTGACAGGAAATGGTCCAAGGGCTCCTGTCCACCCCCTCCCACTGGAGCAGCTTCGGTGGGTGACATCTTGATTTGTGTGGTAGGCTCTTCCTACATAGTCCAGGTTGGCCTTGAACGTTCAGTCTTCTTGCTTTCAGTCTCCCCATTGCTGGGATTACAAGAGTGCACCACAATGCCCAGCTTTGCTCATCTCACATTTATTCTGGTCTCAGTTTTCCTGCTTCTGTAAAATGAAGAGGTTGAGCTGGACGGAGGGGATCCTGAGACCATTTGGGTGGGGTGCAGTTATGATGGCTCAGAGACTGGGAAAATCTATACACAGTGGTCTGCATGATGCTGTTTCAGGGCCCGGAGGGAGCGGGGATGGGGGTGTCTCTGAAATCTCAGCCATCATCATTCAGAGAATCCTGGATCAGCTCAGCGGCAAAAAGATGGGGAGACAGATGACTCTAATCCCCTGCCATCATTTCCTGCTCTACCATCTGATAAGATTTCCTGGGGTATTCCCCACCTCTGCACCCCGGGAAGATCTGTCCCCCTTTTTCTTTAAGAGTAGATCTTATCTCAATTTCCTTCCTTTCTGAAAGGCCCCCCCCTCCCTCATCCCTGCCTGGAGAGGGGGGGGCTTAGGCTGCAGGGGGGGGGTTCCTGGTACTTTTTGACAATCTCCTCTGTCCTCAGATCCGTGGCTTCACCCAGGCCATCGCCCCAGACAGCAGCGAGATGGGGGATCTCCTGGCCTTCCGCTTCAACGCCTTCAACCCCATCCTGGACCCCTGGGTGTTCATTCTGTTCCGCAAGGCCGTCTTCCGGCGCCTGCGCCTCTGGGTTTGCTGCCTCTGGGCTCAGCCTGCCCGCGGGGAGTTGCAGACAGCCATCCCCAGGCCTGCCTCCGAGAGGGAGGATCCTCAGGCCCCCTGGGCCCTGGAGGGGAAGGAGGGAAGCTGGGTGCCTCTGTCTGTCTGGAAGGAGAGACAGACGGTCCCTCTGCCTCCTGTGGCACCGGGGACACAGGGGACGCTGTCCAAAGCCGAGACGGCGGTGGCCTGCTCCCTCTGCTGACTGCTGGCCTGTCCTCTGGACACAGGGACCAGACAAGCAGGGATCCATTCAGCGGATGGCTGTGGAAGTCAGAGCCTTGATTCTCCCCCCCAATTCAAGGGGTGCTCAGCTGCTTTTTCTAGGCAGCCGCTGTGGGTGTGTGTGGGGGGGGGTGACGCAGGTCCCCCGTGAAGAACACATCTGTGAAAATAACCAATGGCTCGGCCGACTGCTCTCCATCCATCTTCCCGTGTAAATATTTAAGAAATGGACAAGAGCCCAGTGGCTTCTGTATATTCAGGTCTGTTGGGGTTGGGGCTCCCGTCCTCAGCCTCATCCGTTAAGGGGGCTCCAGCCACCCACCCCTCAGGGGACAGTCCTGCCCTCTCCCAAGCACTCCCCCCCCCCCCCCGCATCTGCGCTCCCAGAGAGCTGGGGATTGTGGGAACACTTCTCCCCTACCCCTCCTTCTTCTCATCAGCTTGAGCCCCAAGGGCATGGGGGAGGAAAGGGGGGGCTGCCTCCCTTCATCAGATGTGACACTGCTGGTCTGGGGATGGCTGGAGTATGGGATGTGAGCCATGGATTGTGGGTACCAAGGAGAAAGATAGAGACCTTGGGGGGGGGGAAGTGGGGTTCCTGGGGACTACCCCAGAAGGCACAGCCGGTCCTGACCTGTCCTGGATAAATAAATGCTTCCAAGCCTGAACACCTGTCTGGTCCCAAAAATTCCTTCCTTCCTTCCTTCCTTCCTTCCTTCCTTCCTTGCTTCCTTCCTTCCTTCCGTTTACACATTCACTTTGAGAACTGTCAACTTCTCTGAGTAACAGACCAGTCTGCTCTGCCCTGGACCCCACCGGGGGAGGGGATTTCCAGCCTTTCCCAAGCCCCTCTGGGGCAGGGAATTCGGGGTGTCTGGGAATGGGCTGACCTATTGGAAAGGAAGTGAGTTGCTGTGGCTTGGGGGAGGGAACAGGGACCTTCCCGCCCATGGGTGAGTCCTGGTCCCTTTCCCCATCCACTCAGCTGCCTCTGATCAACCTTCCCAGGGAGACTGGGAGGCTCGGGGGGGTGGGGGTGGGGGGCTGGCCACCGGGCCTTGGCACACACAGCACTGGGAATAGCGGAAGTTGACTTGGGCCTGCTTCATCTGCCTCCAGTCTAGAGCTGGCTGGCTGGAGCCACGTCGCCTTTCCATACCTGATGTGCTTTGGGTCATAATCCGGTGATTAGCCACAGGGCTGCAGAAACTGATTAAGGGATTGGCAGCGCTGTGCCAGGACTCTTGCGGTCCCAGCTGGCAGTTGCTGGGATTCAGGTGCGGTCGTTTCTCAAGTATTCTCTATTTCTATTTAGCTGCTGTACCTCAGATGATGTTCAGAAAGAACATGGGGTGGAGGTAACCAGTGAGTGGGTTCAGGGGTTCTCTTGGAGGTAATGAAACAGTTCAGAAGGGTGCCACCCCCTGCCACTTGTACACAAATGCCACGGATGTTGTACTTGGCACCGGTTAAGATGATAGCTTTGATGTCATGGGAATCGTACAACAATAATAATAAAAACATGTCAGACAGAAAATAAAATGAATGTAAGTATTTCACAACTTCCATGACAGTCATGACTGAGTAATCATATATTGCTGGAGTTTAAGAATCGAAAGTCAGGGGCTAGGAAGGTAGCTTAATGGTAGAGTGCTTTGCCTAGCATGCATGAAGCCCTGGGTTCAAATCCACAGTACTGCATACACAGAAACAGCCAGAAGTGGTGCTGTGGCTCAAGTGGTAGAGTGCTAGCCTTGAGCAACAGAAGCTCAGAGACAGTGCCCAGGCCCTGAGTTCAAGCTCCAGGACTGGGGCAGGGTGTGTGTGGGGGGGACGGGAGGGAAGGGGGAAGAACAGAAAGTCAGCCAGACCATAATCCCAGTACTTGGGAAGCAGAGGTAAGAAGCATCATACCATGAGTTTGGGGCCAGTCTGGGCTCCAAACAAACCGATAGCTGGGTACTAAGTGCCTCCTGCCCACCTGTAATCCTAGCTACTGAGGAGGCTGAGATCTGAGGAGCTCAGTTCCAAGCTCATACAAGCAGATTAGTCCATGGGACACTTGTTTCCAATTAACTAGCAAAAAGAGCTGGACTAGAGGTGTGGACTAGAGGTGTGGCTCAAGTGGTAGAGCATCAGCTGTACGCAGAAAAACAGCTGGAGGAGGCAGAGTAAATCAACAGACAGACAGACAGATAATATATAGACCCAATAAAAAGCCTAGGGAGAGGCAAGGTGCTGGTGGCTCACACCTGTAATCCTGGCTACTCAGAAGGCTGAGATCTGAAGACTGAGGTTCAAAGCCAGCCTGGGCAGGAAAAGTCCATGAGACTTTCATCTCCAATTCACCATGGAAAAGCTGGAATGAAGCTGTGGCTCAAGTGGTAGAGAGCTTGCCTTGAGCTGAAGAGCTGAAGGACAGCGCCCAGGCCCAGAGTTCAAGCCCCATGACCAGGGGGAAAAAAAGCACCTTGCTCCTGTAATCCCAGCTACTACAGAGGAAATGGCAGAAGGAGGATCATATGTTCTTGGCCAGCCCAGGCACAGGCAGGGAGATCTTTTCTCAAAGAATACGAAGAGCTGGGGATGTAGCTTATGACAAAAGCCCTGAGTGCAGTCCCTAATCAGGATGAAGGGGGTAAAGAGGAGCCCGGGGGATGTTCAGGAAGGCTTCTTGGGGGAAGGGGGCCTGCCTGGCTTCCTTCTTTGGCTTGTTCATTCTTCACCCTTCTCTTGAGAGCGCTGTGCACGCAAGGCTGCCCTGAGCTGCTGGGATAGCGGGCGGCAGTGACCGCAGCCCTGGCCCTCCCCTGCTCACCAGCCACTCCAGCAAAAGTTGGATAATCACATCAGTATGTATTTCAGTCAGTGGCTCAAACACAACATTACTAGCTGTACACAGATCTGGGAAAACGAATGCCAGACATTTGCTGTAGTCTGTTGTGGGGTCAGAGAGGGACTTTATTCATTTGTCTTCTTAGCCCCAATCTGATCCACAGATGGGACTCAAACACACACATAAGCCAAGCATGGTGGCTTACACCTGTAATTTCCAGCTGCCTGGGAGGCAAGAGAAAGAGGATCAGAAGTGGAGGCCAGTCCCAGCAAAATGTTACTGATACCCTCCCCACCCTTACCCCCAATTTAGTCAGTAATTTAGGCATGGTGGTAGGTGACTGTCACCACAGCTATGAGGAAGCATAGGTAAGGAGGGTCTCAAGCTGAGGCCAGCCCTGGGCAAAAACATAAAGATCCTATTTGAAAAGTAAACTAAAGGGCTGGGATGTAGCTCAGTGGTACAGCACTTACTTACCTAGCAAGTGCAATGTTCTGGGTTCCATCCTCAGTACCAAAAAAGAGAAGACAACAAAAGAAGAGGGGCTGGGGAGGTGGCTCAGCGGTAGAGCGCTCGCCTTGCATGCCTGAGGCCCTGGGTTCGATTCCTCAGCACCACATAAGCAGAAAAGGCCGGAAGTGGCTGTGGCTCAAGTGGTAGAGCGCTAGCCTTGAGCTGAAGAGCTGAGGGACAGCGCCCAGACCCAGAGTTCAAGCCCCAGGACCAAAAAAAAAAAAAAAAAAAAAAAGCTGGGCACTGGTGGCTCCCACCTGTCAGCCTAGCTACTCAGGAGGCTGAGATCTGAGGATCAGAGTTCAAAGCCAGCCTGGGCAGGAAAGTCCATGAGACTCTTCTTCCAATAAAATGACTGGAAAACTGGAAGTGGTGCTCTGGCTCAAGTAGTAGAGTGCTTATCTTGAGCTGAAGAGCTGAGGGACAGCGCCCAAGCCCAGAGTTCAAGCCCCATGACTGACAAAAAGAAAAAAAAAGACAAAAACAAGAGAAGAAAAAAAGAAAGGAAAGAAGGAGGAGAGAAAGGAAGAGACTAAAGCAAGAAGGACTGTGGGCATGACTCGGGGATAGAGTGCCAGCCTCACAAGCACGAGGCCCTGAGCTTAAACCCCAGACAATAATACAAACACCTCCGCGGCAGAGCATGTGCCTGGCACGCAAAGCCTTTTGGGTCCAACCCTCAGCAGTGGGGCAAAAAATGAAATGAAATAAACCTGGCCCTCCCGGCACAGCAGTTCGGGCGTTGCCTGTCCACCTGGCTCCACCTTCTGGTCACACTGGGAATGACACCTGGCTGGAGTTGGGGGTGGGAGCTGTCCCCTAACCCCCGGGAAGTGGAGCGGCCCTGGACCTCACCTTGGGGTCCCCTTGTCTAGTTCCCTGCTCAGGACAGGCCTTTGGCTGGTCCAGCAGCGCTGTCAGCCAGGGCTAGAAGCAGCTTCCACTGGGGAATTTGTGCAGCCTGCCTGCCCGGGGCCAATAAAAGCTGAGTGCTGGTGTCTTTGATTAATAAAGAATGGGAAAGGGAAGTCATGATTATTTAATGCCTGAGCCTGTCTGAGAGTAAAAGTCTTCCCACACAGAGCGCCCAAGGGGGAAAAATGAGAACAGGCGTTGGAGGCGGGTGAAAGGCTCTGAAATGCCCGGCTTCCGCCAATGTAGAGCTGAGGTTTGACTCAGCGTGGCCACAATGGGTGTGGAGTCACTTGCAAGATGGCGTGGCTCTGCCTGCTTGGACATCCAGCTCTCTCGTGTCAACCAGCTTGATGGCTGCTGCCAGGCGGGCTCAGTGGTGCTGGGAGCACTCCTCCTGCCTGGCACCTGCAGCTCCACAGAGGCACACACCCACTTCAGGGCCATCATCCCACCTGCCGTACCATGTTGGCCACCACACCATGCTTCACCCGGGGCTGGCACTTGTACCCACAGACAGAAGAGGTGGGGCCATCTGATGGCAACTTGTGTCCAGCCAAGACATCCATCCTCTGCCCAGTTTGTCTGTCCATGCTTGCCCGCCCCTCTGGGTGATCCACTCTCCTGGGAAAAGCCTCAGGCTTCCTGTTACCCCCTTCTACCGCAGTGGGTCCAGAGGACTGGGAAGGAGGCCTTTCTCCTCATCCAGGTCCTCCTGCCGCAGGGGTCGACCTGTGCTATCACCCCAAGTCTCCACTGAGACCGTCCCGTCCCCCAGGGTCCCACCTGGCCTCATCCTGTCCTGCTCCTCCTACTTTCCCTCCCAGACCACACACCCTTCCTGGCCTTTCAGGTCTCTGCTACTCTGCCACCTAGTGCTCTGGAGGTCCCAGGGCCCCACTGGTGCTGCAGAGCAGACACACACAGGCTGGACCATCTCCATCCTCAACTACCTGGGTGGGGTGGGGGAAGAGACCCACAGAGGCACAGCCAAGGGGAAAAGCCAGGTCAGGTAGTCACTGTATTTTATTGGAAAACATTGATATATTTTTTTCTTCACAGCTTGAACTGAACACAATATTGCCCGGTTTAAAAAAAGAAAAAGGAAAACACAACAACATAAAACAAAAAACCCAAAACATTCTGGTATGTCCACAGCCTCAACGCCTACCTGCCCTTTGCCCTCAGCTCCTGGCTGGGTCCCCACCATCCCCTGTCCCTCCCTTCTCCCTCCAGGCTGCTGCCAGAGGGTAGAGAAGTCTCCAAGCTGGGCAGGAAGAGCCACTTGATCGACCTGGGGGGGCGGGGGGGGGCGCGGATGAGAAGAACAGAAAAAGGAAACAAACCCAGACCCAAGTGCCCACGGTGACTGACGTGTCCCAGAGGCGGGGGGTGCGGA